CACTAAACTCGGACTCTGTTATACCTTTGCTGTATTTTTATCGCCTTCTCCGTTCATATTTTTTAGTTTGTTTGTTTGTTTTAATGTAAAATTGAAAAAATACTAAATAAAAAGTTTTAAAAAAAGAAACGCTTATCATTTATTGAACAGTATGTAATAACTTCATATTTAAAGTACTTTCAGAAATTTGAATTCTGAATTCCTTTAAATAACTTCTACCAAAGACGAAAAGGTAATTTCACTCAAAAAAAGCCAACAACTTTTAAACCATTTAAACAATTCAACATTTTAAGAGGCGTTTCATTGGTTCAATGTTCCTTCTCATCTTTTTTTCATCATTTGCAGTTTGTAAGAAATTTTGCAAATAAACAGAGACATGAATTTATGCATAAAACCTTCTACTTCAATTCATCCTTTGCATTTGATCTGAACATGTGTGAGCACTGAGCATCGCTCATTGAAGTAAGCTAAACTTTGACAGTTAGGATATGCTGTCCTCTCTTTATACAGAAGCCATCCCAGTGTTGAGATGGTCAGGATCCGTTCCTGTCCTCATCTGATTCACTGCCCTCGACGCTCAGCCTCCGGTTACTGAATCCACACCACCGAGTGGAAACCAAGGTGGCGTTTCTTGTCTATAAGGTTTGATGGAGTCCTGTTACAAATTCTTGATAATATGGCTCTGAAACAGAAGCATCATTTAGCATGAAATATTTGACTTGGTCATTCATGTCATCAGCTGAAAACGGTGCAGAAAGCAACACACCTGTGTCCGGTTCAACAAACGAGTGTCGGATGAGGAAGTCTAGGACGACCATGGCAGAGTTGGGCTTGAAGTCATCAGTGGCTAGCAGTTCCTTCACCTGAAACAGGATGAAGCTTTCTGAGGAAGACTCTCTACATCCCTCTGGGAACATAGGACTGTCTGAGAACCAACCTTCTCTATTGGCAGCAGGTAGAATTCCTGAACTTCTCCATCTCCTATGCGTGGCTTGAAGTCCAGAGGGAGCTCCAAGTCAAAGACAAACTGGCTCTCTGGGAACACCCCCTCTTCATCTTCATAGGTGTAGCTGCCAAACGTGAGCCAGTGGTTAAAGGGAGACGTTTGTCTGTTTGATCTAAAGTAAATTCCTCAAGATAACAAATTCAGTCATGCTCTCGATTTTTGTCTTTTGAAGTCCTCTTGCCTATGGAACAAGGCTTCCATCACTTTTACATCACTTTTTTGACATAACATTCAGGAACAAATAGTTTGAATTAATAAAATGAATAGATTAACTTGTTTGAATAGTTTTCCAGGTTAAAAAAATGTGAAGCATCAAATAGTGAAATCCATATGAGGAGTGAAGGTTTTAAAGGAAAAGTCCAGTCAGCAAGGAGTGATCAATGGATCATTATTTATATCTAAAACTAATACGTTTGCAGTGATCTAATACATTTTGCCTTAATCAGTAAAAAATTTAAAATTTTCGTCATAATCACTGAGTCTGGGAGCGGACATTTTTGCCCAGATATAGTAACCCCTCCCTCCTGCCATCTTCCAGCAGTGACGTCACGGTGCGGTTAGCCTAGCGCCATTCTTCCTGCTTTACAAGCAAAATCAACGGGAACTACTAGACTCATCTGCAATCAACAACAATTATTGAAGATTTCCAGAGGACTTCACCATTGAAATTCACCAGAGCTAGAGTGAAACTGACAATGCCCACGTGCATGGCA